CCCCCCCCTCTCCCTCCCTCCCTCTCTTTCTCCCTCTCTCTCCCCCCCCTCGTATCCTCCTCCTCTTCCTCTTCCTCTATAACCCCTTCAATAGAACGGAAGTTCCTTGAAGGCAGAAGCCATCTCCTTCTCTCTGTGTCCCCAGCACTCAGCCCAGGGCCTTAATAAATGTTTTCGGGCTCATAGGATCTCAGAGGCCACACAGTCCAACCCCCTCGACCCTTTATAGAGGGGGAAACTGAGGCCCAGAGAAATGAAGCGAGTTGCCCAAGGTCACACAGGTAGGCAATGAGAGAGTGGGATTCGAACCCAAATCCTCCAGCTCCAAACCCAGAGTTTGTTTCCACTGTTCCGGCATGGGTGGGTGGGATTAAAACAGATGCCGTGGGGCTGGGGCACTCCTGGGTGGGAGGGGGCAAAGGCGGGTGGCAGTTCCTCACTCCTCCCCATCTCGGGCTCCTCCGCCCATAGCTGGGGGGTGGGGGGCTTCCGCCCACGCAGACACAGCTCCTGAGGCTGAGGCCCGGGGCCCTGCCCAAGCCCCTGGATGCACCTTGGCTTCTGGTCACTGGGAGGTGTCTCAGTCAGTGCAGACCAAAAGGGAGCCTGTCCTCAGCAAAGTTGGGAAGGGCTGGGCTAGAGATGGGCCATTCGCGGGTTAGCTTCATTTTACTGATGAGGAAACTGAAGCTGGGAATGGGGTGGCGTCCCACCTCAGCCACACTCAGTGGGGTGCTGGTCTCAGAGGCAGGATTCACACCCAGGGCCCACCTGACCCAGCCCAGCCCAGCCCATCCTCCCCCAGGAGATGCTGTGTCCCGTGTCCTTGGCAGCAGAAGCCCCCACCCCCACCCCTGCCATAGCCACCTCCGCAAAGGACTTTGTCCGGACTGTCCCCGGCTTGCTCCATCCCCACCTCCCACCAGGGGCAGGCCGAACAGAGAAGAGCAGCCCAGGCAGAGGCCCTCATGTGCCCTCCCCAGGCCCCCTCTTTGTCCAGAAGAGATTGACGGCTAACTCCCTCCCTGCTCCCGCCTCCCACCCCCACTCCAGGGTTCTTCAGAATTCCACTGCCCTTCCTAGGTCTGGACATCCCTGTCCTCTTCCAAGACTGTAGGCCCAGTCAGCTTTATGGGCATAGAAGACCTGGGTTCTAAATCTTCCTGTCCGCACGACACTGCACTAGTCCCCTGTCTTCTCTGGGCCTCTTCTGTGACAGGGGTGGGGGTGTGGGGTAGGCTCCATCTCCCTCCCGGCTCTGACATCCTCTGAACCCCTGGAGATTCCTAGGACCTGAGAAACGCTGGGAAAGGATCTTTCGAGGCCTGAAGCAGCCATGGACCCCAGAATCCTGATGTCCAGCCCTCATGGTCCAAGAACAGTCCCAGCCCCCCTCCATCTGGACGCTGACCAAACCGTTTCAGGGCTCATGGGGGAGGGTCCTGGGGTGGCTAGGGATCCCCAGATGGGCAGGAGCTCTCTGGCAGCAAGGTCCCCCTAAAACACTAAATATTCACTTGTGAATGGATCAATAATACTTCACAGGTACAGTGACTTTTCCCATATAAAAACAGGCTTATCACTCATTAAAATCAACTTAATATCACTCATTTTGATCCAAATTTTCTTGACTACTTCCTCCCCTGGTTTCTCCCAGAAGCCTAATATATTTTCAGCCTTTCCAGACAGATACAGAAAGGTCTGGATTTGGAGTCCAAGCCCTGGGTTCGAATCTCATCTCTACTAGTGATGAGCAATGTGACCTTGGGACTCATTTTCTTTCTCTGCAAAACAAGAGGGTTGTCTCCAAAGTCCCCAGGGCTAGAATTCTGGGGTTCTAGGTCTTCCCCACAGAGTGACTCCACGGCCCATTGAGATTGGGGAGAGTTTGTGAATCCTCACCCATCAGTCCCTTGACTTCCTTCCCCCCAGTCCCTGCCAATCTCCCCAACTGGCAGAGCAGGACAGAGCAGATACTACACCTGGTGCTGTGCGGGCTCCTCTTTCCTCAGCTGCAGGCCCTCGGAGCAGGAGCCCAGGCTGGGGACCTGAGCGGTGACCTTTGCTCACCAGACTTTATCTGTGCCCAGCAGCTCCGCCTCAGGAGGAGGGCTTGAGTCTGGGAGATAGCTTGTTCTCATTCTCAAGGCCAGGGAACTTCCAGCCTCTTGATGCTGAAGCTGAGGGGGTTTCATAGGATTCAGGGGGCCCTCGGAGGTGACCTAGGACTATACTTTCATTTTGCAGAACAGGAAAGTGAGGCCTAGGAGCCAAGTGACTTGTCCAAGGTCACACAAGGACCTAGCGTCGGACCTAGGATTCAAACACAGGCCCATGATGACCAAGCTGGGACATAGGACCCAGGCCCCTAGCTCTGTTGCTGTGAACATGAGACCTTTTTTTTAATTAACACTTTGTCTTAAAATCTATCAACCAGAACAACCATTCAAGTCTATGAACAAAGGAGAGTATGAGAACCTTGCCCCCCAGACAAGGCAAATAGAAACATGGTTGTCCATGGTTGTCTGCAGAGGCCCATGTAACAGGACTTGATAATTACAGAACAACAGGTAAGACAGTCTGGGATCAAGGTCTTCCCAAAGCTATCTGATGCAGCCAACTTGGATGGGTTTTGTTGCTGCTGCCGCCATCTTTGTTAACATAGCTGCAAGCCCTGTCTTCATTTGTGCGTGAATATGTAAATCCAGAAGGCTTCTTATGCCAACATAGAAAAACACGGGTTAGCCAGGAGTATGGTTAGGATTTAGAATGGAGAGGGTAGTAAGTCCCAAGGAATGGTGGTCATTGATGGCACAAGTGACCTCATTCCAGGGGCCATCGCCAGTCATCTTGACCTATGTCTGGCCGCTAGACTCCAATGACTCTGGAGGAAAGAGTGAGGCTGATGACTTGGACAACTCTGCCTCACTTAAATCCAGTTCACTTGCAAGTCAAGACATCACCCTCCTGATACCATTGGTCCTCTTTGAGACGACAGCAACAATGACCTCATTCTATCCCATCTTCTTCAGCAGATTTCCTCCTCTATCAGCCCTACTCTCTCACCAATCTTCCATCTTTCTGCTTCCCTACTGCCTACAGACATGCTCATGCTTTCTCCATCTTTAAAAAACCTCCCCTCGATCTATCCATCCCCACTAGCCATCGTCCTGGATTGCTCCTCCCTTCTCAGCTAAACTCCCCGAGAAGGCCTCCAATTCCCTTCCTCTAACTCTCTTCTTAACTTGATAGTGTATCTCTTGGCTTCGAAGGCCATTCACATGGGACCCTCCTCACTGGTGGAGATTGACTTCTCCCCCACCTTCATGAAGGGTAAGCTGAGTTGGGAAAAGCGAGAGAGAAGAGAGATCTGGGCTCCTTTATTTCCAGTTTCAAGACAGAAGATGTCCCATTGCAACCTCTCTTCAGGTTGCTGAAGGACAGAAAGACTGGGAAGAAGCTGACATGTTGAATTTTAATCATGTCTCTATTCTCAGCTTCCCACACTAGAGACTTTAGAGAAATTTTCTCTGAAGTGAGTTCTGAACCTCTCTCGGTTGAACTGAGTTCTCATTCCCAATGGGAGAGTTCATTTACTGTTTATCGTCCGGCATATTCTCCGGTAAGTTACTTCTCTGATTTGTTGGCTTTCAGCGCAGGTAGATGGGTTGTTTGATATTGACCATATATGGTCTGGCATTTGGTGTGCATGTATGTGGGTGAGAGTTAAGCCTTGTATGCACAGCTTGGGGCACTCCTTCCCTATTAAGGGGCAGTTAACAGGTGCTATTTCCCCCAGACTAACAAGGTTTAATTCTAAACTGGTATCCCCTCTCTGAGAAGAGAAGAGTATCTCTTGCTTTCCCTCCTGGCAGGAATCAAAGTCTCCCTTGGAAAAGGGTGGAGAAAGGAGACTTCAGAGGTGTCTATTCACAGCAGACAGAATAAGAGAGAACGCTGTAGGGTCTGCCATGACACCTGGTCTCTACTGTTCCATCCTCCGGTTCATAATATATTTGCACCCTTGATGTAGACGCTGGTTCTTAGTCCAACTCCCACTGAGCCGAGCAAGTCAAATGCCCAGAGGGGGTGGCTACTGCTCTATCTCCTCTTGGGACTCCAGGGGTATGCCTGAGGGACTGTAGGGTTCTTCTCATGCTGTCAGCTTAAATCCCCACTCCAGGGCATTCTCCCTCACATCAATTTCAATGCAAGTTAATTTCTCTTCAGTATCACCATTGATTATCATTCCATTAGCAATTTAATCAGGTATCTCAGTTTTTGCAAAAGGATATTTACTGAGAAGATATAGCAAAAAGAAAAGGATAAAAACATTCCCCCATCCCACCCCCAGTAAAAATAAGGGGTTCTTTCTTCCCTCTACCTGGTGGTAGAGGTCCCTGGAGAGGGTGGGTTCAAACATAAAGAAATGGCTAACATGACTAATATGGGAATGTCCTTCATGATTGCACATGTATAACCTATATCAAATTGCTCGCCTTCTCAATGAGGGAGGTAGAGAGGGAGGGAGAGAATTTGGAACTCAAATTTTAGAATAAATGTTGAAAATTGTTTTTACGTGTAATTGGGGGAAAATGAAATATTACATTTTTAAAAATAAAATAAAACGATTGCAAAAAAAAAGAAACTGCTACAAAGCATTTGCCCTACCAAGTTCATTTTCAAGTGGAGCGTAGCTGATGGCCAGCGATCCCCTCGTTTGATCCCGGCACCTTACTGCTGGGCTCCTCCAGTGATGGCCTGGATCAAGCAGGTTGCCGTTCGGGGCTGGCTCCTTCCCAGACTTAGCTCCTGGACTTCTGGCGGCTCTCTAGAACTTAGGCAATCTCACAAGACCTTGAACCATATAAAGACAAAACCAGGAGGCAAACCGCTCCCAGACCCAGGCTTGTAGGGGGCTAGGGCCTCATGGGCTAGCCCAGTGTGGGCAGGGGCCTTCTCCACTCCACACCAGACCTCTGGAGCTTAGAGCATCGTGGTTACTCCTCACAGGCCAGAGGAAGGAAGGCGAGGGCAAGGTCCCCCTTTGGTGCCTTTGGTCTACGCCCTTTGCTCTGTCTCTGTAACCAACCAGAGGGACCTCTTCAGCACAATGTAGGCGAACAGGTAACAGTCATCAAACACCTGCATGAGCTTGGAACCAGAATCAAGTCCTTCAGGTCAACAACATGGTGCCAAACGCACCCATTCCCAAGACTGGGACTTTCTGGCCAGTCCCTTCATTTCATGGAGGGTGTTATTTCTGTAACTGAGGACTCTTAAAACTACAAATGCTCTCCCACGATGGCCAGAAACACACTGGTAAACTCTTCTGAGCAAGACGCATCGTCTTCCCCCGAGGTCACGCCTCAAGGTCTTGTCCTTGGCAGGGGTCAAGCCAATTAGAGACAGGACACTTCTAAGGCTATTTTGGTTGCTGGTTTCCCTGCTTACATGGGCAATTGAAGAATTGCTGTATTTTCCCTTATATTCCCAAACTACTGAGAATATAAGGAGGCTGTGCCTTCCCTTCTTATCTAGCTCAGCACAGCCCTAGAAGGGATCTAGAAAATGGAAACATCCTTACTAAGCATCAAAGACAGCGGTGAAGCTTGAGAGCTATGGTGGGATGGGGTGGAGAGCAGAGACCTTTCTTCACCCCTCCCTGGCCATCAAGAATGACAACACCTGGCTTGTGCTGGTACCCCTCCCCCACCAGCTTGGGAGAGCCCATTGTTCAACGGTGAGCATTTATTTACACTTCAGAAATCAGCAGCTGCTACAAATCAGGGCTTGATTTATTGTTCTGCTGACTGTCTAGACTTGAGAAAGTGCTGATGATGCAGATTAAACATTTTTTAAAAAGAGATTCTTTATTTTAAGCATTTTGTATTCTATATTCTAGATTTCGAAATGAAAATGTCATAGATTCCCAAATGTCAATTTATCTTTAAAAGAAACTACTTCTGCCTGTAGAGCCCAGAAAGGACATAATGTGAAGAGGATGAGGCCAGACAGTTGAGTGGACTTTTTTTTTTTTTTGCTTTTTTTCCCCAATGCTCATCTCAGTAAAATGAATTCTTTGCTTCCATTTTGATTCTCCTTTAGCAACAATTGTAAAGATAGTCAACCTTGGGAGACTGAGGAACTCTGACGGACACAGTGACCAGTCCCAATTTCAGAGGACTCATAATGAAACATGCTGCCCACCTCCAGACAAGAGAGCTGATGGATTCAGAGGGCAGATTGAAGATTTTCCTCTTTCTTTTTTCTTTTTCTTTCTTTCTTTCTTTCTTTCTTTCTTTCTTTCTTTCTTTCTTTTTCTTTCTTTCTTTCTTTTTCTTTCTTTCTTTCTTCCTTCCTTCCTCTTTCTTTCTTTTTTGGCCATGCCTATTGTGGGAATTTATTTCAAATGGCAATACATATTTGTAATGTGTTTTGTTTTTCTTGCTTTCACAGTGGGAGGGGAGGGGAGGCTGGAGGGAGAAAATTTAGAATTCAAAATAAAATTGAATTTAAAAAAAAGGAAACGGCTCCCTCTGCTATTGCAGTGGCATAACTGACAATATCCATTTACCTCTCTAAAACAGATTAAACCTAAAAGTGTGTGTGCTTACATTTTTTTTTTCCAGGAGAGCCTGGTTATTAAACATTTACCAGCATATCCCTGCCCAGACCCGAACGCAGTAAAAGCACAGCCGGTGATAACTTGGTCCTTTTGAAGATGCTGACAGTTCCAGTTACATAGGCGATGGAAAAAGGCTCCTCTCAAGCACCAGGTCAGTCGCAAAGAGGCAGACTGAGACTTGGTGGTAGGACAAATTTCTTTAAAATGAGAGTTGTCCCATCCTGGAATGGGCTACCTGGAGAGGTACTGAGCTCCCCATCACTGGTGGGCTGAATGCTCACTGGAAGGGATTCCCCCAGCCTGGATGAGAACTCTCTCAGCCTGATACTCTGGGATTCTGGGTCAAGCCTAGAGATTTCAGGCCTAGAGCCTTCTTCCCAGGTTGGGGGTGGGATTGATAAGAGACTTTGTGACCTGGGCCTCCTTCCTCCCCCATCTTTGTTAATGTTCCCCTGGAAGCTGCTTATCTGCCTGGCCCAGACTGGACCTATGCAGCTAGGCAGCCTCCCTTCTGGGGACCAAGGTCTGCATGTGATCAGAGCCCTTCCCCCTGGGTACGCCTGCAGGAGAGCCTCAGTGGGACTCAAACAAACTTCCAGGAGGAAAACAGGAATAACAGGTAGAAATGCGCCTCGGGAATTACCGATGGACAGAGAGCCGGGGGCAAGACCTGTGAGAGTGAGAAACCCAGGAAACCTAAGTGCCCGAGTGACTGGTTAACGGATGCTGGAGTCAGGATTTGGCTTTGGACGAAAGCTCACTGCCTGTGGATGAGCGCTGTGACCTGAGGCTTCTTATCTGTGAGCTTTCTAGCCATGAGAGTTAGTCCCAGAGCAGCCTGGGCTGCTTGGGGAGATGACAGGTCGTCCTTACTTCAGGGAAGGCTGAATGATGTCATTCTCCAGGAACTCTGCACAGGTGGCTTTCTAGCTCAAGCCCAGGTTGGCAGCAATGTTCATACAGGCCATACTTTTGTGAAAGTCCTTTATAAACTTTTTAGCTATAGCAAAAACAATTACTATAGAGGTCATCATTTCTTTTTTTTTTTCCAGTGACTACTAATTTCCTTTTTTTTCTATTTATTTTTCAAATTCACTTTTATAAGATTTTGAGTCTCAAATTTTTTTCTCCCTTCCTCCTCCCCTCTCCCCAAGACAGCAAGCAATCTGACATAGGGTATACATGTACAATCATATTAAACATATTTCCACATTACTCATGTCATAGAAAAAGAATCAGAACAAAAGGGGAAAAACCATAAGAAAGAAAAAAAAGAGAAAATAATATGCTTCCATCTGAATTCAGACTCCATGGTTTTTTCTTTGGATGTGGATAGCATTTTCCATCACGAGTCTTTCGGAATTGTCTTAGATCATTGCATTGCTGAGAAGAGCTAAGTAAGTCTATCAGAGCTGGTCATCACACAATGTTGTTGTCACTATGTACAACATTCTCTTGGTTCTGCTTATTTCACTCAGCATCAGTTCATGTAAATCATTCCAGGTTTTTCTGAAATCCACCAGCTCATCATTTCTTATGGAACAATGGTATTCCATTACATTCATATACCACAACTTGGTTCAGCCATTCCCTAATCAATGGGCATCCCCTCAATTTCCAATTCTTTGCCACCACAAAAAGAGCTGCTATAAATATTTTGGTACATGCGTGTCCTTTCCCCTTTTTTATGATGTCTTTGGGATACAGACCTAGTAGTGGTGTTACTGGATCAAAGGGTATGCACAGTTTTATAGCCCTTTGGGCATAGTTCCAAATTGTTCTCCAGAATGGCTGGATCAGTTCACAACTCTACCAACAATGCATTAGTGTTCCAATTTTCCCACATCTTCTCCAACATTTGTCATTTTCCTTTTTTGTCATATTAGCCAATCTGATAAGTGTGAGGTGGTACCTCAGAGTTGTTTTAATTTGCATTTCTCTAATCAATAGTAATTTAGAGCATTTTTTCATATGACTATAGCTTTAATTTCTTCATCTGAAAACTGTGTGGTCATCATTTCACTGTGCAGGAGACAGAGGGGGCTCAGGAAGTGAGGACCACTGTCCAGGCTTTCTGCTCTAGGGTTCACTGGGCAGATTTCCATAGGGGGTGGAGAATAGACCATTTGCTGTAGGCTAATCCTTCAAGCAATGTTAATCAATTCCTATTGTTTCTCTGTCCCATGTGAGGGCCAGGGGATAGGGGAAAGAATACTGTCTGTGGCATCACAGCATGTGGTTTAAAATGCTGGCCTTGACAATTAAAAAACCTATGTATGATAATGGTCAGTGCTGATGTCTGTTCCTTCATCCATTTCCCACTTTTTCATATTGACAGCTTTTTTTGTTCTGTCTTATTTTTCCTTCCTTTGAAGAGGGCAGGTTCATAAGACCTGGTTTATAGATCATAGATTTAGACCTGGTTGGGTGTGGTGGCACATACTGTAGTCCCTATCCCTGGGAAGGTTGATGCTGGTGGATCTCTTGAGCTTGGAAGTTTTCAGCTGCAGCGCAGCCAAAGCCCAGTCAGTGTCCACACTAAGACTGGCACTGGTATGGTGAACCCCTAGAGTAGAGGGTCACCAAGATGGTTAAGGAGGGGTTGAGTGGGCTGAGTGAGAAACAGCGGATTGATACTTCCACTCTGATCAGTATTGGAATCAGACTCATGAGTGACTGCACTTTCAGACAGGGCAAGGTAGGAAGACAGACAGAAAGATAGACAGACAGACAGAAAGAAAGAAAGGAAGAAAGAAAGAGAGAAAGAGAAAGAAAGAAAAAGAAACAAAGGAAGGAAGAAAGGAAGGAAGGAAGGAAAAAAGAAAGAAAGGAAGTTAGGAAAAAGAAAAATATCTAGAAGGGACCTTAGAAGCCATAACCCCCTAATTTTACAGATAAGGAAACTGAGGTCCAGCCTTTCTTTGTATGTCCAATGCTTAGTGTAGAGCCTGGCACATAATAGGCACTGAATAAACGCTTGCTGACTTAACTTGTTTTGCCTAGGTTTACAGCTTGTGTCAAAGATGGGATCAGAGGTTGGAGCTGCTGTAATCCTCGGTGGTATTTTCTTCATCTGTCAAACAGTGCAGGTAGAGTAACAGGAGGGATGAGATGGAATTGTACTCAAAACATTAAAATATGGAATCTACAGACTTTCTGCAGCTCATGAACATGGACTCCACCTGGGCTACCCTCAGCCACAAGCCCATTTCCCGTCCCACTCTCCCAAAGGCAAAGATGCAAAGATCTGGCACATAGTAACCTCACAGTTGAGATAAAGTCACAGATTAGGATGCGTCCACGTGTGAGGTGAAGCAAGGGGGCTGAACTGGGACAGCTGGTGTTTACTCTATTCTCCAGATTGCCACGGGAGACTCGTTCCCCCTGGGCTCCAGCATCCTCGGCTCTGGGAGCAGCCAGGGCTCCCTCCGGAGCTGGGCGGCGAGGCAATGGGGTGGCTGCCCGAGCTGGTGGGGAGGGCTGGGCCTCTTCTGTTCACCCCAGCATCACAGTGGCTAGAGGTCAGAGGATTCATTCACTCAAAGAGGACACTGTATTTGATCCTGGAGGTAATAGGGATCAGCCGAAATTTACTGAGTCAAGAAGTGAGTGATATGGTCAGACCTGAGGGAGAAAAATCACTGGCAGCTGAACGGAGGGGAGAGACTGAGGCAAAGAGAGTAACTGGGAGGCTGTTACAGTAATCCAGTGAAAAGCCACAATGGTTGTTGCTGTATGTCGGTTACCAGTACAGTAGTAGAACTGGGGAAATCACCAATCAACTCCTTACACTCCCATAAAACCAGCAGGGAATCTTTGGAGCAAGGTAGTTTTCATTTGGACCTGGGATATTTGGACTTAATGTTGCCCCCAAGGGGTTTGCTCCGGGACCCAGGTCTAGGCCATTGGCCCAAGGAAGCTAAAAAAGCCTTAGGACTTTGGCAAAGAGCTCCTGAGAGGGCCGTCCCTGGGGGGAAGCCCTCTCCTCCCTTCCTGGAGATCCCCCTCTCTCCTAAACTCCCACAGCCTGGAAGCTGCCTTTCTTCAACAGATTTTTGGCTGTTCTCTGGGGGTCTCAGCTCCCCATGAAGTCTTGCATGTTAGCCTCAAGCCCACCACTTGCTTCACCTTGCTGGGTGGCATCCTTAGGAAATTAGCAGATAAGAAATCTTGATTAGAGGGACCGGAAGCTGACATTTAATAAGGGATAATGTAAAATCTTTGGATCTGGAAATTAATTCCACAAGTACAGAATGGGAGGAGGCATGCTTGGATAGGAAGATGGGGGTTCTGGGGACCCTGGTGTTCAGCAGAAGTCCACAGTGCTTCGAGCCTTAGGCTGCATTAAGAAAGGCATAAAATGCCGGAATAGGGGGCATGGGCCAGGTGGACAGTTCCCCTGTCCTCGGTCCCGGAGTATCTGGAATTTTGTGGTCAGCTCTGGGGGCTGGAGGAGTCCAGGACCATGTGGTCACGTCTGCTCTACCCCCTACAGAGGAGCATGTTGGGTTGTCTGCCAACTCCTCGAAGCCAAGGTCCATCTTCTTTTTGTCTTTGCACCCTCACACACCAGCACAGTGCCAGGCATATGGGGGTGCTAAGTGCTGACTGACTCATCCAAGGGTCAGACAGGGGCACCGGGGAAGGGAAGATTTGGGGCGGGGCTGAGTCGAGGAAAGGGGCACAGCGGGCCTCAAGGTGACCCCAAGGGAGGAAGCCCGGGGTCTGAAGAGCTGCCTCCGGGGCTCGGGGGTTCCTTGCCTTTGGAGGTCTTACCCCGGAGACTTAACGACCTCTGGTGACTAAATGAGGTAGTTAATGCGTGGGACATGTGCTCAGCAAACGCTGAGGCTGGAGCGATGGGAGCGGCTGGCGTGTGTGTGGGGGGGGGGGGGGTCGAGTTCTCATTCGTGTCTTCCACGAACGCTGAAGCCCTTTCCAGTTCGGACCATGAAAGTGCCCTCCGGAGGGGCCGGGGAGCTGGGGACCCTCCAGTGCCGAGCACGGGCGGGGATGTCCCCGGAGCCCCCGCCCCAGGCTCCCGGGGGAGGTCTGGATGGGACTGACCCGAGGCGGGCCTACGGTGGGGCAGGCGGGGCTTCCTCGTCCTGGTACCCCCCCAACACACACACACACACACACACACACACACACACACA